ATATGTTATTTTAAAATTATACCTATATATATCTCTCTCTCTCTCTCTCTCTCTACTAAATATATATATATATATATATATATATATATGTATGTATGTATATTTATATGTATATCTATTTTAATATGTATATCTCTATGTGTGCATATATATTTATATATATATCTATTTCAAAAGGATATATACCTTCACTTTCTATGCAAGTTTGACTTTAGTGCGACGGACAATGTCGTAGTTGCAGATCGGATCACATATGTACATCACGGATTTGTTAAATTGGGAATCCCGGCTACAGATGTATAATATACCGCGCACCAAGTTGCGCAATGGATTAAGAAAGCTGTGTTCAAATCGCAACATGGTAAGAGGTAGAGCTACATCCCAAACACCCAGTTTAAGCCCGAATTTTCAGCTATCGATAAAACAAAGTACCGAACTGGAAACTTGTCTGCTCTAAACTGATTCGTATGACCGAAACCTTCAGAATAGAAGGACCTTGTCCGTTCTAAACTAGATTCAAATGACTGAAACCTTCAGTAGTGAAAGCAATGAGCGATCGTGTGGTTTGTATCAACATCGATTCAAACGAAAGTGTGAGATTTTGGTATTCTGTCAGCAAACATGTCGGATTTCCATTCAGATGTGAGAAACGAAATGAAGTAGCGAGTAGTTAAAAACTTTCCGAGAGCTCTCCCAGTTCCCAGAGGCTATATGAGAAAACTTTTACAGCATCGCCGACCTATACACACTTTCTGGAGACCGAGAAGCTATGGGTAAGGACAAACTACATAAAGGCGATTATGACCGCATCAAACGCCTCGCCCATCGGGTAGTCGCGGTTATTACACAAGCATCTCATAATCACAACCACAAGCAATCCAGCGGTGGTGATGCGACAGTTATGTACGGCGACAGCCAACCAATACGGGAACACTCTGGCCGATCCATCTCCGGGAATACACAGTCAGAGACAGCATCCAACACCACGTTGACCAGTATTTACGAAAAGCGCAAACTCCCTCACATCCCAGATCGTACTGATGAGCACGACCGTCAACATGCACACGACATGAACCCAGATTGCCATCACCATCGTCACAACGCGACTAAACATGACAAACGGATCAAGCATCGCGCAGCTGTCGATGATTCCGACTTAGAAGGTAGAATTGTGATGATCAGTTGCAGTGGTTACTTGATTAAGTTGCAATACTAAGCCAATTTTGTAATATATGTATCAAGGAAAATGCCTAGACAAGCGGTTAACGGCAACACGATATTGTACATATTTGCAGACTATCGTCTTTCTGAAGTTTTGCTATCCGACATGGACCCTGGCAATTGATGATGCAAGATGACACCTTTATCACCAGGACAGTCTGGCTGCTTCCACAAACCAACAGCTGCTGAGTAGTACAGACTTAGAACACCATCACGAATATTTTTATGTGCGATACTAGCGTGAATGACTGTAAAAGACTGTAAAATCTCAGCATTGATACAACTCGGTAAAATTTTGTCACACGGTATACACTTCAACCATCAGAAAAGAGATGCAACATTTCCCAACGACCTGAATCCCTGAAATGCATAGCACGTTGGAACAGAAACTACTCCAGCTAGGTGACGAACCTATTCCGAAGTTGATTCCGATCGGTCGAACCAGGCGTATGAAACTCGAACGGGGCCGAATTTTGCACGTATTTACACATTTCCATTAGGTTTATTAGGAAAATAAAACGAGTTCGATCTTTATGAATGATGCATGCAAAGAACAAAGTGGCTGTAATAGGCAAATGTTGTTTCAGGTAAAATTCACATGGGTGTTTCAAATAAAAGTCATAGCCCTATCGACACCGCTTGTGACGCTTGATGTCGAGCAGCTTCCATAACGACATGTAATTTATTAAATATTGTGCTCCGAGTGTGATCTACGGCGGTGATGTAGCTAGTTTGAACTGCCTGGCATTGATAGGAAACTACTGCAATGACTAAAACCTGCAGTATTAATAGTATCATTTGCATTGTGAGATACGTGTTTTTATGTGTATAGCTTCTCTTTGAGTCAAACAACTCTCTATTTATAAAATATGAAGAAATTTTTTTTTTTAAAGTGGCGATGTCTGAACTCTGAAGTCTGAACTCATTCTGATACAGAACTCTGACGAAGTCTCTTTTTTTTTCTTTTTTTAAACAACTCAAAACTGACATTGTGGGCAACTGGCAACTGGCAAGTGGCAACCCTAAGAGAGCAAAGCCTACCTTACTTTTTTTTTCTCGAAATTTGCCAAGGAAATTGGTTGTGGTTGACCAATTATGGCGCATCGCACGATTGAGACCTACGTTTTACTGGTCGTCGTGTGCCATGGTGTCATGCATTTTCGCGGCCGAACGCTAACGTCTGTCGATTCCGAAGTGTGGCCCAAACAAATATTTTTAAAATATATAAATAAACAATACGACTGCTGTGAATACGAATGGGGTGGAGCCGTGGGGCTCGTGGAGGAGACCGAGATACCAACACGTATTTTAAACACGTATTAATATTGTATCGCTACCCATCGACGTCCACATTTCCACACAAGTCTAGGTTTAGTTAAGCACACGTAAAAATGGTTTCTGCAAGTCCAGCACACCCAGCCATCACCGAGGAAGTGTTGGCCAAGTGTCTCATTGGCACAGATGCCACAGAGATGGAACAGTTTATGGCCACCTACAGATTCTTGGCGGACACCCTATGTGCCGAGCTATCCTTTGCTTCACCTGATGCCCAGGCTTGGTTCAAGAGGGTATGTAGTTAGAAGTTGTGCAAGGATTCATATTGAGACATTTATTTACGAGTTCTTCCTGTGTACATTTTATCTTGACAAATTCTATTGAGGTATTCCTAGTGCACTTGTGCTCAGTGATGATGCAGTGTTCTTCAAAGGGTACAATTTTTATTCAAAGCATGTATTCATGCTACAACCACGCATTATACGCTTGACATACTGGTGTACCAAGGGCTTCACAAGACTTGTTTGTTCGTGTCAACTAAGGTTGTATTTAGTTGATTGAACACTCCATCGAACTTTTGAAGCCGTACCATTTTTTTGTGAAATTTTATACAAATGTATAGTCGAAGGACCGCATAAGATTGCTACTTTCGATCGCTTACCTGTCCAAAAAAAAGCATGCATTTCCTTAATTTGTGTGTTCGCATGTAGACATTATGGTATTTGTGTGTGCACATGTCGACACAACGGAGTCAAACTTATACTTGTAAGCGATATCTATTTTTTGTATGATTCGTTTCGTACTGTAAAATCCATCGCCACCTAAGAGTTAGAAGGCATAAAAATCTGGAAGTATCCGCCTTAAAATACGTTATGTATCTATATACCCAATTATGGTTAACTTTCAGATACATATCAAGGGCTATATGAATTATCGTTATATCTAAGTACCACTTCTTATTTCTTTTTTTTAATCATTTTCTCTGAATATTAGTTCCTTCCTTATCTCTCTTTTTCGATTTTTTTGCCTGTGCAAAGACATCAAGCTACACCATGATAGAATCAATGAGTGTATAAAAATAAAAATATTTTTCTAGATATGATTGCTTCTAGAAAGGTGCGTATTAAATTATTGTACGTGCAAGTATTATCTAACTGTAAATGAACAATATTTCCTTGATGAGTACGTGTACCGATTTAAATTGACATCGGAAATAGATCATATATCATATATAGATAGAGGTCACATAGCGATTCAATTGGCCATACTATTTGCAAATGCTTGCACCTATTCCCAACCCGTATTGAGAGCTATACAAAGCACATGTATTCACAAATTAATTTCGTACTGATATTGCCATGGTGCTTTGCGATGTGTATATCCATCATATGTAGACATGTCAGTGCGCGCATAGATATATTTGGTTGAAAATTGCGCACGTTGCAAACCTTTTCAAAATGTATGATAGAATACGGATTGGATCAAGATCTGGCCTCATAGTTGCATTCAGGAATGCGTATATAAGTTCAGGCCCAGGCATTATATCGACGTACTTATCAATATCATAGCATCATGGTGCTTGAAGTTTTTCTCCTCGGGTTGTTTATAGCTATACCGACACATCGTACAAGGTTGCCATATCTTCCTGTGGCGTTTCTATAGATTACTCACATGCATTACCATCATACACATCAAACAGAATCTTGACTACAATGTTCCCGGTGGCAAGCTCAACCGCGGTATTTCAGTGCGCCACGCCTTCTCTGCCCTGATCAACGACCGCGAGGCCACCAACGAAGAGGTTTTTCAGTGCTACGTATTGGGTTGGGCTGTAGAGTTTCTTCAGGCCTTCTTTCTGGTTGCGGATGATCTCATGGACGCATCCATCACACGCCGGGGGCAACCCTGCTGGTATGCTTTCTAGAACTTTGTTTCGGTGGTTTAATTATTTGAATATATATGCAGGGATAACCGTATATCAGGGCCTGCTGGAATCGCTCTCCTCAGAAGGGATTGTGTATATATATTTATCTCATTTTGTATACATGGACACGCCCGGCATGTTTTTTACTGACACGGCACTGATTAATGAAGTAAGCAGACCTTCTTCATGCAGCATGTATATGCATTCGATTGGACAGATTTGTGCTGTATTTGATTACATGGTGCAGAATTGAATTGATTGGCTTGCAAATGTCTTGTTGTTACCGAATGAAAGTATCATGACCTTTTTAGTTATACACGAGTACAATCAGTTTTGATGATAAAACACTCAAGCAAGGATCTCAGAGCCACCTAAAATTCAACCAAGATCACCGACACATGAGCTAACAGTATCAGTGGATTCCTCACGCCTTCAGGTACAAAGTCGAGGAGGTGAAGATGATCGCTATCAACGACTCCATCATGCTGGAGGGCTGCATCTACCGCATGTTGAAGACATATTTCAAGGGCAACCCCACATACTTGCCCCTGGTAGAACTATTCCTGGACAACTCGTGGTACACAGAGATTGGTCAGCTACACGATCTCATCACAGCACCTGAAGACAACGTTGACTTGACGCGGTTTTCACTGGACAAGTATAAATTGATTGTCAAATACAAGACGGCCTACTACTCGTTCTATCTACCCGTAGCGGAAGCGATGATTTTGGCAGGTGTTGACAGCGAAAAACAGCTAGCCGAGGCTGAGAAGATCTTATTGTGTATGGGAGAGTACTTCCAGATACAGGTACGTGATCATATTCGGAAGGCCCAGGTCACTTTTTCTGTATGTGTGTGTGTGTATATATATATATACGAAATACATATTGCAGTGTGGTTCCTATAAAAATTGTAGGTTGTTTTTAGGTGGAACATACTTCATGGAAATAAAAGGTTGTACCTCGGCTGATATTTATTCATATTGATTTTCATCAACTAAGCTCACAAATCCATCTTCATGCAATAATATATATATATATGAGTGTATATGTGTATATATATATATATATATGAAATACATCTAGCAGTGTGGTTCTTATAAAATTGTAGGTTGTATTTTATGTGGAACATACTTCATGAAAATAATAGGTTGTACCTCGGCTGACAATTATTCATATTGATGTACATCAACTATGCTCACAAATACATCTGTATAGCAGCATATACGCCAACATGTTATTGCACTGCGATCTCTATGCGCTGACAAAATTATTTTATCCACTTCTAAGCGTTGATTATAAAATGTCTCCTATTAATGATCTACGTGTCCCAAACAAAGTATTATATACAGACTGTTGATACTTCTTACAATGCAGTGCAGCCCATCTCCAAAGTCATTCGCAGGGGTCACGGCTACAATGGTTGAAACATGATTTTTCTCGGAGATAGATAGAAATTAACGAATATCGTTCTGGAAAATATCCATCTGTATTTCACCTATGGGCATGGAGGGAGTCTTTCACTACTAATCCTCGCTGTCCTTCCGTATTCATAGGATGACTACCTGGACTGCTATGGATCGCCCGAGGTGATTGGTAAAATCGGCACTGACATTCAGGATAACAAGTGCAGTTGGTTGGTGGTACAGGCACTAGACCGTGTCACGCCCGAGCAAAGGCAGATCTTGGAAGACAACTACGGACAGAAGGAGGCTATTAACGTGGAAAAAGTCAAGGTTTGTGTGTGTGGGGTACTCAGTATTTATGGATGCTGTTTTGTGGTCTGTGACGGTTGTATGGTTGTTGATTCTTTGGCCTGTGGACTTTATTGAAACCCTTTTGTATTTGCAGCCTTTTATAGTATGTACAAGTATGCATTTCTTTTATATCAAATCCTGGCTGCTCTATCACTATCCTAAACGTATTTACATTCTATTAATGACCAGGCACTGTACCTCGAACTTGAGCTGGAAGCGGTGTTCAAGAAATACGAAGAAGAATCATACTCTACGCTTATGAAAATGATTAACAGCGACAGCCACGGAATCCCTACCAAAGTGTTCACCGACTTTGTAGCTAAGATATACAAGAGATCCAAGTAAGAAGCAAATAAGATCTGCGACAGATCCATGTTGGCGGTTAAGAGAACCGCTCTAGGTTACTGTCACATCAGTGAATTCATGGTGGTCGAACAAATAAATTAGAATGCAAGTCTCAAGGTGACTTGAACCATACGAAAGGGCGGGGTAATGTTTTACTACTGTGCTTGTCCTTTTTTTTTCTCTTATTCTGCACCAGAACGTAGATTTGCACTAGCCGATTACATTGCATAGCATGAATATGTGCAACTTTATTCCGTGGTATGGTCCACTGGAAACTTCTGTCAAGAATATAGCCTTCTAAAATCCGACAGCGATACTGGATAATATCTATAAACAACATATCAAGCAGACAGCAAGAGCGCCATACATATATTTCTTTTACAATGAACACAATACTTTTTTGACGAGCATGGCCCTCTTTTCGAGCATTGTCGCTGGAAGAAAAATGGATTCTGTCATGAGATAAAATCATTTCTGAGACTTCAAAAACAAAGGACATATATATATGTATATAGATATAGATAGATATATGTGTGTATGTGTATACGTATGTATAAATATATATATATATATATATGTATATATATATATATATACATATATATATATATATATATATATATATGTATATATATATATTTCAATAAAACTGCCTGCATCATGAGCCTTTAGAAAATAGTCTGCATTACGACTGCCTGCATCATGACTGTCTTGCAGATAATTATCTGTGTTACTACTGCCTGCTATGCCCGCCATCCTTATGCCTATCGCTTACGACTGCCTCTAGTTTTGACTGACGCTCAAGCCTGTCACGGGTCGTACAAATATGCTGAAAAGACTGTTGTTCATTTTGTATAATTGTTGCTATTTTTCCACACACAAAAACCCCCCCCACCAATACTTATTCAGATAATATTCTAAGAAAATAGTGGATTGATGAACTTCAATACTTGCGGTTTACAGTATTTCATAGTATTTTAATGGGGTTGTACACTTCGATTGCGTCAAGCACTATATCACGTACAATTAGAGGAGAGGCACTCAATCATTCTACTAAACACACTTCAACCCCACTCCACAGAGATAACACACTTGCAACTATGAGTGAAATCGAGGGGTCTTCTTGCCTGATACACACCGGCAATATGTTGAAGATGCTACCTGGTTCTGTAATCACGGATAACAACAACAGGTAAACAGATATCCACACGACCATTAATTATATGTTTATATATATATATATATATATATATATATTGTGTGTGTGTGTGTGTGTGTGTGTGTGTGTGTGTGTGTGTGTGTGTGTGTGTGTGTGTGTGTTGTGTGTGTGTGTGTGTGTGTGTGTGTGTGTGTGTGT